GGGCAAGCACGTTTTCGGCTGTTATGGCTGCCGAAAGGGAAGCTGGTCCCTTCAGGTAGGTGTGAATTGCAAGGGGAAGAAGGTGTCCTGGCTGAAAATGGGACAATTAGGCCAAAGCCTGAGGAAGTGGAGGAGTGAGTCCTGTGGGTGGAGACTGGAGCTGTCAGCTTGGAAAATAACAGGTGCAGAGTCACACTTGAGTATTAGCTGTAAATAAGATTGCATTAAACACTGGGTACAGGTGCCCTTCAACCACTCCCCATACATAATCATATTTAATTACTTATAAGTCATTATCTAATTACACAGATAATCATACAAAAGAATGATCTGAATATATTTCTGCTGCAACTCACACAGTATTTTCAGTTTAGTCTGTTGCTTGAATGTCATGTCTGACAACATTGCAAGGTACTGTGCCCTCCTCTTGAAAGTCAATCTCCCATGAAGTCCACAGCTCCTGCAGCTAGGGAATCCTTTGGGCCTGTTCTCCCATTCATCTTGCATGCTTTACCCAAGCTTAGAGTCCCTCTTGGTTTGAGGTCATGGGCTCTGCATGCAGGGAGGTCTCATGAGCCAGAAGAGTTTGTCATCTGAAGGGTAGACAGCTATTCCTTCCTCTATTGATTGATATATTAAGCCACAAACCAAGCAAAACTGTGGTCCTTCAAAGTACTGAGGATATAGAAAAGAGCAAAACTAGGGCCACGCTCAAGAGGATCCACACATGGCCAGGGAAAGCCACTGAGACATGGAGTGTCCCAGGGCTGTGGGACAGCAAGGCAACTGTCCATTTCTTTCACGTTTCTAACTTGTAGGGCTAAACTAGGAATGTGCACCATGAATCAAGGCATCCAATAAATCGGTTGATTGAATGTCTCCCAGGAAGCTGCTAGCATGACAGCATCAGACACTGGGTCTCGGCCACCGTGGACTTGCTCACAGGGAGTAAATCTACTCTGACTGTGGCTGTTTGGCCAGGTCCCCACTCCAGGCTGCAGAAGCTCCTGTGCACTTACAGATCACTACAGCATGCTGGTCTGCCTCCCAAGGGGGTCATGAGTTTTAATTAGTTACTGTTGGTAAGTGCTCTAAAGATGTGGGGGTGGATAAACACTGCAGGTCATTAGGCCTCTTCATACCACTGTGTTCTGCAGCCTGGGAACTGCTAATTGAGAAATAATTAACACCTCGGGGTATAAAGGACACTACCTAGATTTTCCAGATTGGAGGAGTTATAACCATGTGTGTGGGCAGAAGGAAAATAAAAGGTCAATGTGGACAGACACATGGATCCCAAAAATATCCGAATGTGACTTCTCTCCCAGTAGAAGGAATATTGCTCCAGTAAAACCTGTGAGACACCAATCCCCAAGGAAAACCCCTCCCATAGAGCTGGGCTGCAGGGACCCAGCATGGCTTTTAGAGACAGAACAACTCAGGACCATCAGCTCAGCCTGGCCCTCTAAGTGGGTTGACAGACATAATGGTCATGTACTGTCATATCTACCACCCTCCCTCGCCAGGTTGTCTGGTATCTTTCCTATTGGCCAGTTCATCTAACTCAGAATCATTCTAGGGGAAACTTTAAGCTTGCCCGCTTCAGTGACCTCACTTCAGGACTGATGTACACGGGGATTCCTGCACTGCTCTGGCCTGGGTATCGGGCGCTGTGTCACTGGAGCCTGCCTGCCTGGAAGGAATAAAGATATTCTTATAACAGGCACATGTGCCTCCCTTTGGCTTGGAAACTGCACCCCAAGAAATTAGAATTCCTCTAGGAATCTCATACTAAAGGGAAGGAAAAGACTGAAAGTCTGAGCCACTGTGGTGGTTTGAAAGAAAATGACTCCCAAAGGAAGTGGCACTATTAGGAGGTGTGGCCTTGTTGGAGGAAGTGTGTCACTGTGGGGGCAGGCTTTGAGGTTTCTTTTCTCAAGCTTCACTCAGTGTGACACTCAGTTGACATCCTGTTGTTGCCTCTGAATCAAGATGTAGGACTCTCAGCTCCAGCACCCCATCTGCCTGCACGCTGTTATGCTCCCCGCCATGATGATAATGGACTGAACCTCTGAAATTGTAAGCGAGCCACCTGAATTAAATGTTCCCTTTACAAGAGTTGCCATGGTTAGCCAGGTGGCGATGCACGCCTTTCATTCCAGCACTTGAGAGGCAGAGGCATGTGGATTTCATTGAGTTCAAGGACAGCCTGGTCTACAAATGGAGTTCCAGTTACATAAAGAAACCCTGTCTTGAAAAACACAAAAACAAACAAAAAAAGAGTTGCTGTGGTTATGGTGTCTCTTCACAGCAATAAAAACAAAAACAAAAACAAAATGCTAAAACAGCTGGGTGGTGGTGGGGCACACCTTTAATCCCAGCACTCGAGAGGGAGAGGCAGTCTTATCTCTGTGAGCTCAAGACCAGCCTGGTCTACAAGAGCTATTTGGAGCCAGGACAGGCTCCAAAGCTACACAGAGAAACCCTGTCTCAACAGACCCCCCCCAAAAAAAAAAAACCCTAAGAGCCACCCAGAAAGAATCCCAGAAAAGGACTGCAATTTGTCAGACCACCTTTCAGGAAATTGAGACAGTTGATGGCTTTGATAGTCTAGGGGTCCTGATGGGGTTCCTTTCTCATCCAGTTAGAGTTAAAGGCAAGAAAAATCAGAAGCACAACAGGTGGCCGCAGAGAAACCTCAAGCACTCAGACAGAATCAGAAATTGGAGAAACAAATTTATCGGGAGTGAGGAAACACATACACAGTAGACACACAGAAAAAGACCCTTGGCAAAGCAGAGGGGCTCTAGCTGAAAAATCCAGTCTCTCCTCTAGGCCTGGGGCTGTTAAGCATCTGAAGAGTCTTCCTTCCCCATTTAGGGTTGGCCAATTTGAAGAAAGCAAGGATGGTTGATTGGCCCAGAACAACATGTTGCATAACATGTCCTCATCAGGTCTTGAACTTGAGCCAGTCCATCAGCACCATGGGAAACAGAAACCTACAAGGCTTTTCTTTGTTTTAAGCTGCCAGGTTTTTTTGTCTCAAGTCAGGATAGTGAGGAAGAAGCTGGCCATCTTGGAAATTCACCATCTTTATGACCTAGCCATTGCCCCTCTCCCTGTCTGTCTGTCCACCAGGGAATCTGTGTAACTGCTAGTCTCAGCTTGTTGAGGACAGGTGGCCAAATCTGGCTTATTGGAGTTTTGGGGACCTAGGTTCTGACCCTTGGAAACATAAGGATTTGTGAGAAAGATGCAGACCCACCGCCTGCCTATCCCTCTTGTATCACCTCATCACTTTCTGCTCCACGCCTCTGAGTGTCCTGGTCCCTCTGCCTAACAGACCCATCCATCTCTAAAATAAACTGAAGAATCATTTCCTCAGCAAAGTTCCCCCTTCCCTGCAATTCTACAGGGCTTTGCTGAGGCTAGTGATTACAGGCATTGTTCATGAAGCTCCCAGGGAGCTGAGAGCTGTTATCAGGGTCCTCAGCTGCTTGCCCTGGGTCCAGCACACTTGAGGCAGTCTATAAACTGCAGTTGTTGGTAGAGTAACTGAAATAAATGCAGCTCCTGCTCAGGTCATTTTACACTCTGTTCTGTGTTTATAGCATTCTCCAGCAGGCAGCTACAAGACTCTGTGTCTCCCCTTCTTCAGGTCTTTGCTAAAATGCCAGCTTTCCATGGGCGACCTATTTTAAATCAGAACCATCCAGCTCCCCGCTCCATTTTTTTTTCTAAGTTAACTTATCTTCAGAACATGTAACACCCTTGGAATGACAACATACTTTTTCTTTCGATGGATATTCGTGTTAATCTTTATTTTAAAAAATATTTTTTTATCAAAATCCTGTTTTGTCTTGGCGTCTGAGTTCTTTAGCGTCCTGCTTCCCTGCTGCGCTGTTTTTTTTGTTTTGTTTTTTGAGATAGGGTTTTTCTGTGTAGTTTTCTTGGCTGTCCTGGAACTCACTCTGTAGATCAGGCTGGCCTCGAACTCACTTGAGACCCTCCTGCCTCTGCCTCCCGAGTGCCGGGATGAAAGGCGTGCGCCACCACCATCCGACAAATTGAAGCTTTTTAAATCATAGGGCAGATCTGAAACGTGGTCTCCTGTGCGTTGCCAAAGTCAAGGTTACTTAGCAGTGCACCCGTTCTCTAAGAGTCACTCAGGCCCTGGCCATGGGCGATAAAAAACGGACTCCTAGCCTTAAAAGCCGGATTTGATCATGGAGTCGCACGTTACTAATTCCTAGAGGGCACTTCCGGAACCATGATTTACGGGTGGCCACCCAAGCCAATCTATGATCTCGGCGGGAGAGCGAGGCTCTTTGGCTCCGTTTCCGGAAACTTTCTCATGCCCTTCTCCAGTAGGCTGGTGCCAGCGAGTCCCACCCCTTCCCGAGAGTACGGCTTTCCGATTGGCGAGAAACGTGAGAGGTGGGGCTTGGACCGAGCCGGCGCAGGCGCACTGGCTTCGCGTGACGGACGAGCGGGCGGCGCAGGTGTAGAGTGCTGCTGGTGAGCGTGGCTGGCTTGAGGGTGGTCAGGGAAGGCGCGCGCGTCCAGGATCTGCTGTCCGCTTTCAGGCGTGCGTCCTGTCCTGGAGTTGTGCGGAGTCACAACCACAGACAGTAGGATAGTCGAGTCCTTGGTCTCAGCACCCCGGCCCAGCTGTGTTTAAGGGCAACACTTCTGCCCTGGCCAGCCTCGCGTGGCCCTTAAGAGTCCGAGTTCCTGGAAGGGCCCATTATGGAGCCGCCTCGAGGATGACCTGGTGATTCATCCGCCTTAGTGTTTTGAAGAGGGATGAAGGGACACCACCCGGGTAGGGTCACCCCTCGTGAAGGCCGAGACAGTTTAGAGCCGGGCGCTGTTTTATGCAGCGCTGTCAGTGGTGGAAACTGGATGGGATTTGGAGGCGAGTTGTAGCATTCCAGAACGACCCTGTACCCTTTGTTGTTGCCTTACACAACTTCCCCATCCTGGAGCCTATGAATTGGGTATCATAATAGCCAAGCCATTATGGCACTTACTGTGTACCGGGCACTTGGAAACGCTTTGTGTAACCCTTTCCGCACTGGATCGTGGGTTGAGTCGTGTAGTGTGTACCTGGAACACAGAGGGGGCGGTAAGGAAAGGGAAGGGCATCTCACAGATGGGATCTGCGTGCTCCCTCTCCCTAGGAAGCAGGAAACTATCACTACTGCTGTCTGTGTTTTGAAAAGTTGAAAGTCGAAGGAATGCAAGGAGACCAGTAGCGGGCTGTTTTAACAGGCTGAGTAAAAAATGGTAGCTGGGTATGAGATGTAGGCTGGTCAGGTGAATAGACAAGGCCAGAGGACCAGAGAATGCTACAAGTGATGAGGAGCAGAGTAGAGGAGGGCAGGTTTCTGGTTTGGCTGGAGGGTGCTTCTGGTGCCTTGCAGGGTGATACTCAGATCTGTAGGGACACCATTGTCAAGAGACTCTGGGTCAGTCACCCCCTTTCAAATAGTTGTGTACTGTGTTCTCCAAAGAGGAGAATATGTAGGTCTGAAGTCCAGCAGACACTTTGGACAGTGAGTACAGATGCAGGCTGACCAGGGATGTCTGGTGAGAAGGGCAGTTAAGACAATACTGTTTGTTTGTTCGAGGCAGAGCTTCGTTCTATACCCTCCGATGGCCTGGTGTGTAATCCTAGCTGGCTTTGAACTTGTGATAATCCTACTCTGACTCCCAAGGGCTGGGATTACTGGATGTGCACAAGCCTGGCAATATTGACATAAAGTGGAGGTTGGGAATAGAGACAGGGAATGGCAAACCTGCCCTCAGCTGTTGGCTGTGGGATGATAGTTGATTTGTTTCAGGTTCTTTCCCCAGTCTCCTAAAAGAGTAGCGCTAGCAAACATCCACCAAGCACGTGATATGTGCCAAAAACTGATGTAAGGATAAACGTTTTCCCCACCTTTAAGAAAATGCCCACAGTAAACATACAAAGCAAATCTAGTGTTTATACCATTTCATGATGAAAACTTTAGTACACAAAAATAGAGAGTGTGTGCTAGGCTGCAGGAAGTCCCAGTGGGAAGTTGGCCTAGAACCTAGGCTGCCTTATCCAGAGCCCGTGCAACACCACTGGATGCTGTCTCCACAGTAGATCGTTACATTTTCATAATCAGAAGAATATGAATTTCTTTTGTTGTTATTCTTTGGTAAAGGGTCTCTACATAGCCCTGGCTGTCCTTGAACTCACTGTATAGACCAAGCTGGCCTCTGTCTTTGCCTCCCCAGTGCTGAGATTAAGGAATGTGCCACTAAACCCAGCTGAATTACATATATATATATATTTTTTTAAAGAGTAGTGCTGTGATCTCCTGGGTTATTAGACATGGATGGAACCACAGCTCCCAAGATGAGCTTCCATCTCAGGAATTAGTTGGAGCCAATGCTGAGAACCCAGTTAACAGTCATCCACACATGACTCATTTTCCTCCAGGTACCAGGGTGTCATGGAAGGGCTGCTGACGAGATGCAGAACACTGTCTGCCTTGGCCACCTGCAGCCGCCAGCACTCCAGGTATGTTACCCACAAGTGTCACCATTGCCCACCAGGGAGACAGCAACGCTTGGTATTATCCCGCATGTTCCAGCCTCAGAATCTTCGGGAAGACCAGGTGCTCTCTCTGGAGGGCAGAGCTGGAGAGTTGACCTGTAAGAGTCAGCGGCTGATGCTACAAGTGGGTCTGATCCTCCCAGCAAGTCCTGGCTGTTACCACCTCATGCCCTACACAGTTCGTGCTATGGAGAAGCTTGTGAGGGTAATAGACCAGGAGATGCAGGCCATTGGGGGGCAGAAAATCAACATGCCCAGCCTCAGCCCAGCTGAGCTGGGGGGAGCCCCCAGCCGCTGGGATTTGATGGGCAAAGAGCTGCTGAGACTAAGAGATAGGCATGGCAAAGAATACTGCTTGGGACCAACTCACGAGGAAGCAGTTACAGCCTTGGTTGCCTCCCAGAAGAAACTGTCCTACAAGCAGCTTCCTTTACTGTTGTACCAGGTTACAAGGAAGTTTCGGGATGAGCCAAGGCCCCGCTTTGGTCTTCTCCGTGGCCGGGAGTTCTATATGAAGGACATGTACACTTTTGACTCCTCTGCTGAGGCTGCCCAGGAGACCTATGGCCTGGTGTGTGATGCTTATTGTAGCCTGTTTGACAGGCTGGGGTTACGATGGCTGAAAGCCAGGGCAGATGTGGGCAGCATCGGGGGCACAATGTCCCATGAATTCCAGCTACCAGTAGATATTGGAGAGGACCGGCTTGTAGTCTGTCCTAGCTGCCACTTCTCAGCCAACACAGAGATACGAGACTTGTCACAAAAAATCTGCCCTGACTGCCAGGGTCCACTGACAGAAACCAAAGGCATTGAGGTGGGGCACACATTCTACCTCGGTACCAAGTACTCCTCCATTTTCAATGCCCAGTTTACCAATGCTCATGGGGACCCTTTGCTGGCGGAAATGGGGTGCTATGGGTTGGGAGTCACTCGGATCTTGGCTGCTGCCATTGAAGTTCTCTCGACAGAAGACTGCATCCGTTGGCCCAGCCTCCTGGCTCCTTACCAAGTCTGCCTCATCCCCCCTAAGAAGGGCAGTAAGGAGGAGGCAGCCACAGAGATCATGGAGCACTTGTATGATGACATCACCGAGGCAGTGGTTCAGCTCCAAGGGGAGGTCCTGCTGGATGACAGGACCCACCTGACCATTGGAAACAGACTGAAAGACGCCAACAAGCTTGGCTACCCCTTCGTGATCATTGCCGGCAGGAGGGCCCTGGAGGACCCCGCACACTTTGAGGTTTGGTGCCAGAACACTGGTGAGGTGGTCTTCCTCACCAAAGAGGGAGTCATGGAACTACTGACCGGTGTTCGTGTTGTCTAAGCTCCCAACCACACCTGTCCCCAGGCTTGGTGTCCACTGTAATGCTGTAGTTCCTCCACTTCTCTCTTGGGTGGTCCTCCAGAAATGGCTTCTTCTCTGGGCTGGTCATGCTACCATGTGCCATCCTTTTTACACATAGACACACCTCTCTGTTAGACTGAAAGGTAAGGAAGAGGCCTATGTCACTCCCTGAGGAAAAGTGAGTTTCCAGGTTTAAGATGGCCATGGTTGAAAGCTGGGGGCCATGCTTCCCCAGGCTCACTCCACAGTCTAACCACGTGCTTTACATTTCATTCAGTCCAGAGAGCAGTTCCTTCTCCACTGAGGAACCAAGAGCTCCACAGTCAGGAATTGGCTGTTAGCTCCCTGGTGACTTGACACACCTGCTCCCCACTGGGGCTCCCATTTGGACACAGGAGATGGAATTAGGTCTGTGAGACCCTGAGTGGCTCCACTAGACACATGGATCTGGTGGTTCCTTATTCCTCTAAACTTCCCAAAAAGTTGTCCCAGCTGCCTGATGGCCCCAGACTAGCTCCAGAGACTTGACCTTACTGGGTTCATGCAACACTGAGATCATGTTCTACTGATTGAATAAAGTCAAGCCTTTGGGATGAGCTTTTTGTGTGTTAGTTTCTTTTTTTCTTTCTTTTTTTTTCTGTTTTTTTGTTTTTGTTTTGTTTTTTCGAGACAGGGTTTCTCTGTATTGCTTTGGAGGTTGTCTTGGAACTCACTCTGTAGACCAGGCTGGCCTCGAACTCACAGAGATCCGCCTGCCTCTGCCTCCTTCAGCAAATCCTTCCAGCCTGCGCCACCAGAGCTGGCATGTGTTAGTTTCAAACAAAAAAAAATGGCATCTGTTTCACCAGTATACCCAATAGCCTGCTGCCTGCTGCTGCCCACTCTGCACTCACTAGGAGTGGGGGGGGTGCTTTAAACTTTCTTCCAGACTTCAAGAGCAGCAGACTCCAGCCTTCCCCCTCCCCTGCAGTGACCTTGTCCTGGGTTCTGAGTTTAATTCCAGGGCTACCACAGGAATGACTAGTTGAAAGCTGACTAGATTCTGTGGGGAAATGGGAGTAAGGATTGGATTCCACAGCTAGGTGATCCTACATCCAACTAACTTGCCAATGAAGGTAAATCATAGGTGTCAAGGCTCCAAAGCAGGGCCCGGGAGTGTTAGGGCTTGGCAGATAGATGCACTGGGAAACTTGACTGAGGGTGGGGCTACTATAGTAGCAGCAGCTGGACAGAGTGAAGGGAAAAGAGAAAGTGAGCCAAGTGTCTGCCTTCATTCATCTTTGTGCTTGTGGACAGCCACCTCCAGCCACATGCTGTTATGCTCAAGCGCATGAAACCAAACACTGGCTCTTTAGGTTGTTTCTTTGGGGCATTTTGGTCAAGTGACATGAGAAGTAATCTGCCTTTGTCACATTGGGGTTCTGAGAACAAGGGTAGGTCAGGTTGCATGGCAGTGGCTCTTAGTTTACTGCACACTGGGGTCCCTGGGTCCTTTACAGAGCTTCTGGTTCCAGTGGGCTGTGGCTTAGGACTCTGGTTGCAGAATTAAGAGCTGCTGGAATAAGATCATCTGCCTCCGAACCCATGGTGTGGTTGCTTGTTTTTTTGAGTGATGTCAGTGGGGCATCAGGCTGATGCCAGCCCTCTGCTTTTAATGCTTTTAATGTTTACTGCGGACCTGCCTTGAGCCGCTACTTGAGGCATCTTCACATGCTGCTTCCAGATCTTAAAACCTGCCAGGTCAGCGCAGTACATTTGACAGATGAGGAACCTGAGGCTCCGATTAATCAACTGTCTTAAGGATGCATGGTTATTGAGAATCACACCTAGAATTCAGATGCTGGCCCTAAGCTGTACCTTTCTTTACTACATTGCTTGACTTCTGCCCAAGAAGAGTGGTTCCAATAAGCAAAACTGAATCCATGCCTAACTTAGTAGCCTTGTAAGAAATTAAAATTCATGCACACAAGGACTGAAATGCAGCTCAGTTGGTAGAGTATTTGTTACCAGGATGGAGTTCTGGGATTGGTCCCCAGCATAAACCAGGCATGGTGGTGCAAGTCTGTTATCCCAGTATATGGAGGCAGAAGGAACAGAAGTTCAAGGTCATCCTTGGCTGCCTAAGAAGCCTGAAGGCAGCCTTGTTTGAGCCTTGCCTCAAACAAACAAAATCACAAATACAAGTGCTTTAATTTGTTATTTTGGTGCAGGGGGATGAACCCAGGCCTTTGCACACACGCCAGACAAGCAGTTTACCCCTGAGCTGCAGTCCCATACATCCTCAGCTTCCTTTTTTTGGACAGTGTTTCACTATGCTGCAGGCCAGGCTGACTTCAAATTCACAATCTTGCCTAGGCCTCCCAAGTGTTGGTATTATGAGAGAGCACCCCTAAGCCTAGCTTTAAATTTTTTAAAAATAAATTGCAAATGTGTATTCTAAACCTATTTAAGAAAAGCTGGCCTAAAGGTACTTTAAGGTTTGTTTATTTTATGGATATGAGTGCTTTATTGACTTTATGTATCAGATCTCACTCTAGATGGTTGTGAGACACCATGTGAGTGCTGGGAATTGAACTCAGGACCTCTGGAAGGGCAGCCAGTGCTCTTAACCACTGAGCCATCTCTCCAGCCCCCCTAAAGGTACTTTAAAGGCCAGATTCCAAGAATAGAGAGCCAATTAATCTTAGACTTCATAAATGTGCAAGCTGAACACAATGATGCGGAATCCGAGGAACCCCACATGCTGGGCCGGGGAAACCTCTAGTACTCAGTTCATAGATGGCAAACAACCTGGAGCGAAGACAAAGCATCTCATGCTGGCAAGTAGGTCAGCCATTGAGTTGCCAAAGCCTAATAGGCTGCTGAAACTAGTACCCGTTCTCTGTCTCACAAGGAGTTAAACACAAGAACAGTGCCACCCTGGACCAGACTTGGGTGTTAGGCACTGGGATCACAGGGTCACAAAGCTAGTGTCCTGGCGGCCAGGGCCAGTGTGATTTGGTGAGCAGATGAGAGATGTGAAGAGGCATACTCCTAGATTCCGCTCTTCCTGGGGCTCAAACTGTCCTTTGCAGGCCTCATTCTTGGCAAGGTGTTCGGAGGAATGGCAGCCTCCTCATTGGGCAATATGGGTTAGCAAAGCCACTTGTGTGGAATACTTTTAGTGCTTTTTGTGGAAGTAAAAAGTATATGTCGAAGAAAAGGATAGTGGTCACGAGAGTAATTGGTGCACTGGAAATGGTGTCAGAGTAGGGGGACGATGGCTAACAAATATAGGGGGAATCACTTTAAGTTCTACAGCATAGGAGGACAACTGTGGTTGGCAGCGGTTCCCTGACTCTCTTAAAATGGCCAGTAGAGAGGATTTTCAACATTTCCAACAAAGTGATATATATGTGATCTATCATTAACCAGTAGATACATGTACAGAAATGCCACACTACATCCTCTATGAATGTCCAATTACTATTGCCAATTTAAATTTAGAAATATTTTTAGAAAATACTACATACCTTTAAACAAGATTGTCTAGATGTGCAGTTTAACCACACAAATCTTAAAAGCAGAGGAGTCAGACATGGCAGGAGAATCCCAGGCATGAGATGCAGAATGTGACATGCCACTGAGGAGCAATTCGTCACTGAGACCCAAGAACCAGAGAGGCTTCCAGAAGCTAAAGACAGCCCTGCTGAGGACTAGTGGGGCAAGGGGTGCCTCAGTTCTACCTCAGTGAACTGTATTCTCCCAACCACCTGGACAAGCCTGGAGGCGGTTCTCAGAACCCCCAGGAAGAGCCCAGAAGGCTGACATTTTTACTTCAGCCTTGTAAATCCTGGAGCGGAGATAACAGCTGAGCCAAGGACGTTTCTGGCCACAGAAGTGTGAGGTAATGAATCTGGCTGCTAAAGGAGACAGAACAGAATAAAAAATGGAAGAGAAAAACTGGAAGCCCCACTGATGGAGTTCCGTGGCTGCAGGTTCTGGCTGGGGGTTCTGAAGAGAACACATTCTCCTAAGCAGGCAGGTTGGGAATGCTGTATAGTGCAGTGACTGCCACACTGCACCATAAGCTTAGAGTTAGTGGTGCAAGCCAAGGGGCAGGCCCCATCTTGGCAGTCTCTGAAGGGCTAAGGAGGGTCCTGAGTTCAAGTCCTGTTCTACTTTTCATTGGCTTTGGGCAGGTTGCTTAAGCTCTCCATGCTGTCTTTATACACTACCTGCTGCCTGTTGGGAGATTTGGGGAGCCAGTCTGCACCAACCAAGCTTCTAGAATGCTGCTGGCCTGGCCCAGGTGCTCAGTAGGTGGCTGCTCATTCTCCAGAACCAGGCCAGTAGATGGTGCCCTGCAGATGCTCCCACAAGGGTCTGTGGCTTTGCTTGGACTGTACACCTCTTCAACTTTATAGCCCAACTCCCCACAGGTGCTGGCTTCTACCTCTGACTTGTTGACAGCGGGTCACCCCTTTCTTGAGATCACAAGCCCATGGCTGCTTGTGAATTGTTGAGATGCTGAGCAGGTTCGGTGCCAGACCCTGGCAGTACAAAAGTATAGCTTGGGTCCTAGATGCAGTCCACAAAGAAGGACGAACCAAGTTAGTATTATGCCATGTGCCAAGGTTAGTGATGGTGATGGTGCATAGCCATGGAATAGGCCTAAGGAACCAGGGAGGCCTGCCTGGAGGAGGCATTATGACAGCTGCAGAGTAGGCACTAGGGACGGGAGGTAGTCCAGGAAAAGGGAACAGGATGTGCAAATGTCTGAAGCTGAGAGCACAGAAAGTTTGGGGGATAAACAGTCACAGGTCATACACTTGCTGTGAGAAGCTGTGTTCCATGGGCTTCACTACATTTGCCTGTTTAATCCTCACAGTACTTCCCGAAGTCGCAGATAAGGAAACTGAAGAACAGACCAGTTAGGCCAAGTGGTACCCAAGGCCTACCACTGGGGAGTGTGAGGCTGGGACTGGGAGTTAGGCAGCCTAGCTCCAGAACAGAGACCCTTGGCTACTGCACCACCTGCCGCATAGCTGAACTGTAATCAGGACAAACAGGCTTTGAAGACTGCAGAAGAGAAAGCAAGTTGCACAGTGGTGAAGGCAGAAATCCCAGAGGGCCTTGAATGCCACACCAGGAGTGCTGAGGAGGGAAGCAGGAGCCTCTGAGGGCTTGGCTAAGGATGACAGGCTTGCTGATGTGTCTACTCTTCCTCGAAGCAGTTGCCAGCCCAGGGTCAGAGTTGCTACTGAATGTAAGTCAGAGGCTGCGTGGTACTCTCCAGCCCTAATGTTCTTTCAGTATAGGCACAGGACAAATCCTTGTAATGCAGGAGGGAGGTGCTGGGGGAGGTGTGGGTTCAGATCCTGCCTCTGACACTGCTTCCTTCTCCATACTGACATCACAGGCTCTAAAAGGGACTATTAGGGTGAAGTAAGAGGATCCAGTGCAGTAACAAGCCAGAATGCAGCGTTAGGGGGACTTCTTCCCTCTCTTCATGTCTCTAGCTGTCACCCACATCCATGGATGCACACAGACATGTTAGGCACCCTCCCTCCACCCTGGTTCTGGGAAGGCAGCAAACACTGAGGACTTCTGCCAGGAGAGTCCGGGAGCAGATGTGGGAACACGTGCCTTGGCCTTGCCTTCATCCCACCTATGTGGGTCTCCTGCAGCCATTTGCCCACCCCTCACATGGGTATGTACACACACCCAAAACAAAACAAAACAAAACAAAACAAAAGCCAGGCAGTGGTGGTGCACACCTTTAATCCCAGCACTTGGGAGGCAGAGGCAGGAGGATCTCTGTGAGTTCGAGACCAGTCTGGTCTATAAGAGCTAGTTCCAGGACAGCCTCCACAGCTGCAGAGAAACCCTGATGGGGGGGGGGCACGGACAAAAAAACAGGTAAGGTTTAATCTTCTGCTGTATTCTCCAGGATGGGTAGTGGCCTATGGGGCACCAGATGAGGATCTAGCCCACAACTTGCTCAGGAAGCAGTTTCTTCACAGATTCCCACCACACTCCTCTAAAAAACATCATCTTCTTTGTGGTTTAGTGAACATTTTTCCACCTCCATCACTGACAATTTGGGTTAGATCATTCCTTTTGTGGCATGCACCATAGGGAATTAAGAGACACATTTGGCCTCAACCATTAATGCCAACAGCACCCAACGTGTTCTGTCACCTGAATGATGTCATGCAAAATCACCCGATTGCAAAATTGCTGAGCCTGTCTGTGTATATGTGCCCTGAACAGCTATTTGAAAAGAGCTATTCACTGAGGACATGCCACTCCTGGGCTGAGGCCTCATATGCACAGGCTGCAAGCAATGCCAAGGGTAAGATGAGCATTTTACAGTAGAAAGGGCTTCAAGCTGCAGAGCTGGCCCTGGTGTAAGAACACAGCTCTTGGTGCCTGTTCTCCCTGTGGTGGTTTGAATGAGAATGGTCCTAATAGGCTCAGAGAGTTGAATGCTTGGTCCCTTGTGGTAAATCTGTTTGGGAAGGAGCAGGAGATGTGGTCCTGTTGACGGAGTTGTGTCACTGGGGGTGGACTTTGAGGTTTCAAAAATCCAGCTCTTTCTCTGCCTTGTTGTCTCAAGATGCGACCTCTCAGCTACTGCTCCAGTGCCATACCTGCCTGTTGCCATGATCCCAACCATGATGGTCTTGGACTCCAACCCACTGGAACTGTAAGGCCCCAATAAACTCTTCTATAAGTTGGGTTGGTCATAGTGTCTTACCACAAAAAATAAAAAAAGTAAGACATTCTCTTCCCCTTGTTACATCCAAGCTGATGATTCCAGAGGGTCAAAGACTAGAAGCACAGCAGAGGCTTGCTGACGGGAAGGGCAGCGTATGAGGACAAAAGTTTCAGGACACCTGCCAGGTGCATCTCATCCATTGCTCTACCTCAGTCTCGCCAAGCCTAAGAAAGGGGCTGGGTCATATCTCTAATTAGATAGTAGGAAGACACAGTGGAATGTGATTTGCCCATGACAGTAGGGTGGCTACAGATGCTGCTCCTGGAATCCTGCAATGCCTGCTGGATTGTTGCCAACCGTAAGGCCCCTCACATAGACTTCTGAGTTCTTACAAAGGAAGTCAGGGGCAAGTCTTTAGCTGAGGAAGAGATGTCTGCAGTGTTTCCAAAACCAGGGGAAAAGAAGAGGCTGGATTTGCAGGGACCTGCCCTGAGAAAGAAGCTGCACTGGTCTCGATAAATATTCCAGACAATTTCTCTTCCAGAAATGAGGATGCATACAACACAAGACCCTGAATTAGCCCACCTAAAGGACACCAGCTGGCTTCAGTTTAATGATGTATTAGTTTTGCTATGGTAACAAACATTCCCCAAATCTCAGTGTTTAATAATCAGTGGCTTTAGGTCAGCTTCTTTGAGCTTTGCTTAGACACCCAGACTGAAGGGGATGCTCCTATTTGAGAAATGAGGCCTCCTGGTAGAGGGGCAAGGACACAAGCCTACTTGCTACCCACTGTGCATTGGCTCCTCAGGCTTCCGTCAGATGTGGCACAAATCACATCTGCTCAGAGCCCTTGCTCCCCTTGGGAGATGGGGTGGGCACTACAGGAAGCCACTCAGCTACAGGTAAGGGCACACGGTCTCCAGAATGAACAGCTCAAGGCAAAACCACTACAACAGACAAAGACTTTCCAGATCAAAAGGCATAAAACCCTGGCCAGGCACAGAGGTGCACAACCTAACCCAGCATTCTGCTACTGGGCCGGAGCATAACTGGAGCTGAGGAACTGGGGAAGCATTCGGGCTGCTGGTCTGTTGCAGTTCTCACACTGGGAGGTCAGGGGAACTGGTAGACTTCTGAGACATCCTGAGGATCCCAGTTTGTGCAGTCATTAACGCAGAAACAAGATGTGGCTTCGTGGCTCCATTCACCTCATGGCGTCTGCAGCATCCCTTGTAGCTCTCCTCCATTTTGGTGAGATAACTGGACCAGTCTCAGCCCTACAGCCTTAGAATACTATGCAGGGTTGGTTACTGCCTTGGAGGAGTGCATTCCATATATGCCCTATGCCACAAAGGTTAAGACTGGCTGGGCCCTGAGACAGTCTATAGGCCAGGGAGTCACTGAGGTCAGCTGGTCTGGCAACTGCAGCAGATGCTCCTTCAGAGATGGACCCCAGGGATGCTCTCACCAGGGCGGAGCTGGAGCCCAGCACTCAGCCAGACAAGCTGCAGTTCAGGGAGGTCAGCAGCTTCTCCCCCAGTCTGAGGCTAGGAACTGTCCCTGGGGATAGAGAAGTGCTTGACTCTAGATCTGTCTGGCTGATCCAAGTGTGTAGACTCCAGGCAGAGGAAGTTGAGGGAAGGATCCCAGGGTCTGGCTCCCACTTTACCTGTGTACCCTTTTCCCCTGGAGATAATTCTTACAGAAAGGAGAGGATCCTACACAGACCAGGAATGCTGGTGTAAGGGCTTTCACAGAGTACCTGCAGGGAGCATGACAAAGATTAACTGGATTGTTCTCTCTGTTATCCACCAACCTTCCCAACCACATTCAAGGTGAACCTTTGGATGCACATAAACATTAAAATACAACTTAGCACATTTCTGTCTGGTTGTTCATCAGTCAGCATGATAGTCTCTCCTTAAAACTGAGATACAACCTCTATCTAGATCGGCCCTCTGGCATCAGGCACACGGGGGACTAAACATAAAGAAGACCACAAAACAAGCTATTAGTTCACTCACTCCCTATTCTGTGAATAACTGGGGTGAACCAGGTTCTTACTAACTTGAAGTTACAGTCTGTATCCCCAACAAGCCAGGTTTGGCCACCTGTTTCCATTGTGGCCACACTGAATAACCTCCCTCCCCCGCCATACACACACCTTTTTCACCTATAAAAAGTAAACAAACAAAACTATTAATTTTGCTCTTGTAATTGTTTTCCTGAGAATGAGTGGCCAAGTCTGGCTTCTTGAGGTATAGACTATGACTCCAAGTTTAGTAACAAGGCCCTGTATTAAGATATACTTCTTGGAAATGGGGAAGATAAAAAATACTGAGTAACTTAACAATAGAATGAATTGCTGAAAGTATGTCCCTAGCCATCCTAAGAGTATAGAGAAGCACTGATCAGGCCTTGAGAAATGGCCTCCACATCCTTCAAGCCAAAGCAGGCATACTAGGGACTTCCGGACACCCTTCCATGTCAACACCTTCCCATCTGTCCTGAGCCTCCCACCAATCCAGCGTCTCCCACCTTGGGCCTCACCACCCAAGAGGACAATTCAGATCTGAACATTCCTCTGTACACCTTCCTTGAACGCACCTCTGCAAGTCCATTCACCATCTGGGATAAAGCCTCGTTTCCTCAGTGGGACAGTCAAGTCCATGCTCCATGAATGGCACTAACTCAGCTCTCCAGCCTCCCTGCTCAACACACTCACAGCCCCTCTCCCCAGCACAACTGGCTTCTATTCTAAGTGCAAAAATCCTTTGCCTTACTCTTCTTCACTTTGCTCTAAGTTAGAGAAAATGGCCCTAAAAGTGTTAACTCCCTCAGGGTAATCTATAGAAGCTGCTGAGAGGCCACAGTAGATCCTGCTTGCTGCCATTGCTGATAGCAAAGACATCCTCCCTCAGCAGGCTGCACCACATCTACGGGGCACTCTGACCCTGCTTGCATCCTGACTCGCAAGTTCCCTAGAACCATGTACCCATCCTGCAGGTGAAGGGGGAGCCCAGCGAGGCAGAATGTGCCCAGGGTCACACAGATAGGGAACCAAGGGTGTCTGCAATGCTGTTTCCATATAGCAGTGTCAGGAGACAATCAGAAAGTGGGAGCTACCCCAGCTGCCTTCAGCTACAAAAGCCAAGCAGTTTTTCCATTCTGAGACCAGGCCACTCACTTCCCCTGGCCTGGGCTGTCACGTTCTTTTGTCACTGTTCTTCAACCTCTTTGGTCAATGGCTTGGCTTAATGGGCCAGGACAGTTGGTCCCATTGGCTGCCTTCTGTGATGGCTGTGTGTCAATGAACAGAGGCGCTGACTAGACTCTGGGAAGGGTCTGCACATTTCCCCATCATCCCATGGAGGTGCTCACCTGGGGTGCTGCAGCACCTGCAGCAGAGTGCTCCAGGGGGACACCTGGTATAGCTCTGCCTTGTCCTCATCCTCAAAGTAGACCTGTGAGATTAACCAAGAGAATCAGACACAAACTCAGGCTTAGGCAGCCTTACACATGCTGTGGCAATTCTGAGGAAAAGTTGGGATGGCAACTGCTACTACTGGAATGTCTGTTTCTCCACACACCTGCAGGCTCAGGTACACAGCAGCCCCTGCTACCAGGAAGGCTGCATTCTTCATGGCTCGGAGAACAGCTCCTCCCAGGCAGTAAAAGACCTGTGCAGCCTTCAGTTCAGTCCCAGTGCCACAGGGGTAGGGAGGAAAAAACCACAGTGACCCGAAACAAAGGAAGAGCCAGAGCAGGTGAGAAGGGTATGTGTACAGGGCACTAAAGTCAGAGCAGGCTTGAGACATCTCACAGGGAGGCAGGTCAGAGCTCAACCAAGAGAGGGAGACACTCATGCCGGGAGCCAGCCAGTCTGAACAGGACGAAAGGCTTCCTTGGAAGCCAGGTAGCCTATGCAGCAAGCTGGAACCCAAGAGAAGTGAAAGCAATGTCCACATGTGTAGGACAGAGCAAACAGTGGAGCCTGAGGATAAGGCTATCATCAGCAATCAATGCCAGTTTCCTGACCATGATGGCGCTTTTGAAATCATGAAGAATGTCTTTGTCTATAGAAAACATGTACAAAAGTAATTCAAGGTTGCTGGAAATGTCTTACTCTCAAACATTCAGGAAATATTTCATTACTCAGTAAACTCTAGTAATGTTTTATTTTTAAAAACCTAACAACGGATTAGGTGTTGGTGGTCTACACCTTTAATTCCAGCGCTTGGGAGGCAGAGGCAGGCAGACCTCTGTGAGTTCAAGGCCAGCCTGGTCTACAGAGTGAGTTCCAGGACAGGCTCCAAAGGAATACAAAGAAACCCTGTCTCTAAAAACAGCAACAAAAAATTCTAACAATGGAAAATTATTCAGCCTTACAAAGGAAGGCTCAAATATGCTATAATATGACTTTTTCCAGACCATAGTTGAACCTTGAAGACATTATGCTAAATGAAATAAGCCAGACACCGTACTGTTTCTATGCTGTCCCAGTGCGGTCACATTCATAGAGAAAGGAAGTAGAACAGACAAGGGCAAGGGTGGAGGATGTTTGTTTGGTGAGTGCAGCATTTCAGTTTGGGAAGATGGAAAGTTATAGAGAGGGATAGTGGTAATGGGCGTCTAACAGTGCAAATGACTCAACTGTGGCTCTAAATGGTAAAATGCTAAATGTTATAATGTATATTTTACCAAAAGCATTGTAATCACTTAAGGGTCAGTTCAGCATATAAAAGCTTTTAATGGTCAAGGCTGGTGGCCTGAGATCAATCCCCAGAACCTACAGAGGAGAAATCCAACACCCAAAAGTTGTCCACTGACCTCCACATGTGCTATGGCAAATCTCTCTCTCTCTCTCTCTCTCTCTCTCTCTCTCTCTCTCTCACACACACACACACACACACACACACACACACACACACACACCTTTTTTTAAAACACTCAATTTCTGTACACACTCTCCCTAAATCCCTCAAAGGAATGAAATAGAACTTTTCTTACCTCCAAGTTACCCGGGTGATATTTCTGCTCTGAGTCCCAGGAGGGAGCTTCACTAAACATCACCGTGAGATGGTCAATAAACCTAAGGGAGGAAGATGTGCTTCCTGGGTACCAACATCCCATCTACATTCCCACATCAGTCCCTGGACACCAACCAGTTCAGAGAGAAAAATGAAGCACAAAGCATCACAAAGTAGGCTTACCCTACTTGACAACAGTGCCAAAAATATAAAGGTTTATCACTTGTCTAGGACATAATCTTTCTAAGCATTAACCCTTTGAAATCACACACACACACTTAAATGATATGCATGTACTACCTAAGATGACCCACCCAGGCAGTGATGAAGCAAGACCTGTGTTGCTTCACCACGACAGAGGAGCCTGTCAACCTGCTAGGGGATAACCTCTAAATTACTCTCTTCCCTACTCAGCAAACACATGTTTGTGGCTCTTGGCCAGTCAGCAGGAGGAGCACATGAACTGTTGGGGTCTGTACCTGGAGTCCTCATGAAAAGCAGAGATGAAGTCGGACTGTGCATACTCTGGGTACAGGAACAGCACAGGCCAGCTCAGTCTGCCTTCGTTATCTAGACTTAGCCTGGCTCTGCAAGGGTTCTCTGAGCTGAGCCCATCCAGGAAGATCTCAGCTGGACCATCGGAGGCTGAATCTTCATCCTTACCCACCGCTTCAGAAACAAGTCTGATGTTCCTTGCCTGGATTAAGACAACACAGGCACAGACCTTATCATGTAGGAAGATGCAACACATATTACTGAAATACACCCTAGCCCTATGAACCTCCCGAGGGTCCACTCCACATAATCCATCCTAACTATCCTGGTGGCTAGGCACACAGTAGGCAACACAGGTTTCACTTACTTTCACTGGAATCTGTTGTGTGTTTGGCCCTGGACATGGTTCCCTGCCCTCAGGGCTGTTTGTGGTCTAGTGGGAGCAGCAATGGAACAGTTAAACAGAAGATAGGGAGTGGAGCTGAGGTGCTGCAGACAGAAATTGGCAGTATCTGACCGTACTAAGGCAGAAAATGCATAGAGCAACCCACCCCAAAATTGAGCACATGCAAAGGAAAGAACAGGGCAAGCATGGATGGCACAGAAATACAAACACTTCCCTTAGGGGAGAACATGGGATGCTAGCAGTAAGGCCTGACTTCATCCTGACTGCCTTACTGGAGTGCAGATCCAAGGGTCTTTAGAGAGAAGCCTCCTCTTGGGTGTGCCAAGGTTTCTAAGGTTAGCACATCTATTGAAATCAAAATTAGTTTTGATGATATCCCCTAAAGTAGGAGTTGGCAAAAGCTGTTCTTTACTTTTTGAGTCAGACTCACGTAACCAAAGTGGGGCTTGACTTTCTGATCCCCCTGTCACCTGCTCTCGGGAGCTAGGATTAAAGCATGTGCCGCACACCCGGACTAATTTTTTTTTTTCTAAGTTTTATATTTATGTGGTGTTTTGCCTGTATGTACATCTATGTGAGGGTGTCAGATGCCCTGGAGCTGGAGTTATAGACAGTTGTGTACTGCCATATGGGTGCTGGCGATGAACCAGGGGTCCTGACCACTAAGCCATCTCTCCAGCCCCCATATTTAACTTGTGTTAAGTGATTGCTTGTTGGGAGAGACAAGTGTGGTACACTTTAGCAGTGTTAAGTTCTCAGAATTAATAACTGAAATGGGTGCATAACATCAGTGAACACAGAATGAAACTATAACCTTAGCCCAGGAGGCATCGTCTCCCTTGTGAAGACAGAGACTAGCCGGGTGTAAGGATGAAAGAAGACGTGGGTCAGACACGGTCACTTCATGTAAGAACCTGGCTCGGCCACAGGGCCTCCTGGACTACACTTGCTTCAGAATGCAGAACAGGGAGGATTTTATCATCATTAGTTAGAGTGGCATCCTAAATCTGCGGCTTTCTCAGGTTGTAATATAAGTTGTAGTAAAGAGTAAGGCTCAGGATCTGACACCCATGGCTGTATGAAGTTTTCTCATCAAACACTAGAAAACCAGGAACAAGAAAGCCTTGCCCAGATGGCTGCTGTGAAAATGGAATGAGAGGATGATTAGCCCAGAGCACCACTCAGTAGGCTGCTGAGACCAGCAAAGGTGGGGGCAGAGCTGACTGAAGGTGGTGGTCTGACTTCAGAGCCTGAGGTGAGCACAGGCGTAAAGAGAAAGCATCCCAAGAAAGGTCCCTGGCAGGCTTCACACAATGAGGAGACTTCACACTTGGGGCCTCTGGTTTGAGAACTTACCTGGATGGCCTGGAGTAGAGCCTCATTCTGACTCTGTTCCTTCTTTTCTTTCAACCTCGCTTTCCTCAGATCCCTCTCTTCCATCCTCTGGAAATAAAATTCAAATGCCATCAGCTCTGGAGATCTTTTCCTCCATCTTCCCCCAGCCTGCAGGACTACATCCTGTCTCAGCACAAGCCATGCTTCTGCTCAGGGATTGCCAGAGGCTGGCTCAGTAAACATGCACAAAGCACACATTGGGTCGGGCCCAGTGTCAGCAGAAATGTTAAACCTAGTTCTAAAAAAAAAAAAAAAAAAAAAAAAAAACAAAAAAAAACTTATCCCCCAGGAACTCACAATCCACTGAGGGGTGATGCCAAGTAAAGGGGCAAGTGACCAGACGTGTCACCGTGGTGGTGTGGACTGAGTGCAACAAATGGGGGTGACTGACTCTCCCCCAAAGTGGGCCTACACAGCTGAGGAAGATGCTACCAATAAAGGAGAAAGAACATCTCCATTCAGGAACCCCAGTGGAATAGACAAGTACTGCTTGGACCCCAACTTCTCTGGTGTGGCTGGAGAACCCATGTCAAAAATTCACAGGCTCTACCTTCTGCAGTTATAACCTAGGAGAGTAAAACACTATTCTACTCAGTCTGGCAGAAAGAGAGTTCATACTTTCTTCCCTGCTCACTCCCCACCCCCAGTCTGTCCAACACCAGTAATTCCTGCTTTCACTCTTGGGCTTACAGTTGATAGGAATCTGCCAACATCTGCTACAAAAGGAAGAGAGCAAATATTTTAGGCTTTGAGATCATGTGGTCTCTGTTGTGTATTATCTGGTTTTGTTTCTAACTCTCCTGAGAATGTGAAAACTGCTTAGCTCATTTCATCTTCATAAAAACATTCAAGGTTCATATTAACTCTCCATTTTCAAAGCTGGGACTGAGAAATATCCAATGCATTTTGGCAGTGGCAAAGTAGTATTCAAACTCAGATTTGTTGAAGCATCCCTCCTAGGGCTCTTGTCTGGAATGTTCTCCCTTGGCCTCATTCAGCCAAGTAAACTCCGGCTCAATCATTAAGAGATTAGGCTTAGGCATCATCTCTTAGCAAATTCTGCCTGCTAGAATCCCCATTTATACCCTGCTCTTGGCAGAGCAAAGTTAGATACCACTATTAGACTGCTAGTATATTCCCATAATGACTTGAGACGTAATCTGAGGAATGCTAATTAGCAAATACAAGCTATGTATGGACAGTTACTAACCTTCAACTTGTCTGCTTTTGCCCTCACTTCTAGAAGCTTCTTCTCTTTGGCATCAATTTGTAGCCCCTCATCACACCAGTTCACAGCCTCAGCAAAGTGTTTCAGTTCAAGATGGCACATGGCACCTGCAGAGACCAGAGTCCTAAGGTCCTAGGAACGTCATGCACAGCTTAAATAAACCCTCCTTCCCCACTGCGCATCAGCCAGCCCCAGGAGGGGAGGCAGGACATGGCTCTTTATAGTTCAGTTCCTAGACAAGGAAAGCATTTGTAAAATCACTCTCATCCCCATTTAGTTCAAAACTTGTAGGTCTTCTTGGAGTAAAGAACCCTAAAATGCTCATGCAAAGAACACAGCCTCTGGAATCAGACAGAAACAGACTAGCAAATGGCTGTCATTTACCTGCTGGACCCTGGACAAGGACCATGTCTGAGCTTCTGAGCTTCACGTTCCTCATCTACAAATGGGAGCATAAAGCCCATCTCAGATGATATGTGAATTTTCTTAAGATTAATTTTAAATTGTGTGTCTATGTGTGGGCATGTTCACAACAGTGCCTGCCTGAAGAGACCAGAAACGCTGACTAGCCCTGGAGCTGGAGTTTCGGGCAACTGTGAGCCACTGAGAACTGCAAAGATGCTCTACAAGAGAGATGTTCTCCTAACTGCTGAGTGTCTCCTCGGCCCTCGGAGGACGTTTACTATAAAGCAGAATTTCTGCAGCTGCCAATCAACACCAAAGCCCAAGCGCTGGGTCTCTTCAAATTTTCCCTTTTTGAAGAGTCGTCTGTTTAAGCTGCTCCCCCTTTGTATTTGTTTGGCTGGTTTGGGGGGTTGTTTTGTTTACATTCTGGGATGAAACTTGAGGCACCTTGTGTACACTAGGGAAGTAAGTGCTCTACTACTAAGCTACATAACTTGATTCTAGTTCCAAAATGTGTGTTTTGTTTTGTTTTGTTTTTAATTTGTTTTTGAGACAGGGCTTCATTGTGCAACCCTGGCTGGCCTGGAACTCACTCTGTAGACCAGGCCTCAAATTTACAGAGATCTGCTGCCTCTGCCTCCCAAGTGCTGGGATTAAAGGGGGGCACCACCACCGGTCAGCTCTAAAATGTTTCAATGTGATCATATTCAAGAGTTAACCTCTTTTAGGCTTTTCATAGAAATTTAAAACATCAGAACTTTATTATAAAGACTTGGCTGTCCAAAGCTCTAAGTCTGGACAGGTGAGATGACTCAGCAGGTAAAAGCACTTGCTGGCAAACCTGATGACCTAAATTCACTCCCTAGAGCCCAGGTAGAAGGGGAGGAAACCCTGCCCTTGAAGGTTGTCCTCTGACCTCCACACACAAAATACATACTTTTTTTTTTTTTAAAAGACTCTAACCTCATCATCCAGAAATGAACAAACCAACACCAAGAGCAGATGCCCTGCCAAGGTCATATTATAAGGTAAGGCTGACAATGACTCAATGAGACTAATTCCCCAGGACTGTACTTTTCTGTTCTGTGGCTGAGGGACACCCTCCTGCCATGGGCATCTAAGAGGTATAACTTGGATAAAGCAAGTTAGGCTGCTCATGGCAGTGTAGGGAGGTTCAATACATGAAGAATAAAGTTTGCAAAGCATCCTAAGCTCAGAGAAAAGCTGACATTAAAGTAATAAAGCACAGTTACTACGAAGGTCAGACCACAAGATGGAAACAAAGGAACAGTCCAGCGCCAAAGTTCTCTGCAAAGGCCCCAGAACTTATATTTTAATTAATTTTAACATGACATTTGAATATCTTGCTGTTCCGAGAAACTGGCGAGAAAATCAAAATGTGCTGTGTCTTAATTAATTTTATTCATTACTAATTTAAAATAAGGAGTTTCAATTTCATACATAGCATAAAGGGTAGAGGCAGCAAGGAACATCACATCAAGTCTGCAGGACTGCGTGACTCCCCAGTCCCCAGCACCACAGGAGCAAAGCTTTCCAGATTTTGGTGCCGAGAGCCAGCTTTCCCACAGTGAGGACCACCCTGAAGCTTATGGAGACTCACCTCTTACTACGGCTTTCAGGTGGCCGGGCTTTAGCTTCCTGGCAGCCAGCACATCATTGAGTGCAGAGCGAAAATTGCCTAACAAAATGTCAGTAAGTAAAAGAACAAGTTATGAGATCAAAATGATTCCAAAATCATGGCAGCGACAAAGACATTCCTGGCATATTTTTCAAGAATTCAGAACAAATGAACATATTTCTGGAAAAATATAGTTATGCTCATCAAATCCTAAAAGGTTCACAATATTAGGCAATCTGCATGAATCAGAAATGACTAGTAAGCACATGAAAAGTTGTCCAGTGTCAATAGTGGCTGGGAAACGAAAGTCAATGTGGAATTGGTGAGGATATGGAAAAGAACTGTCCAGATTACTAGAGAATAAATCAGCACACTCTTTGAAACAAGAGTTTTTATCTAGAAATTATCCTCAAAAATTCTGTAAGGACCAAAATGAGGAACAAGTGAGCTCCACTATTTCCCTCTGATACTGAGATCTGAGACAGGGTTCCACAAACCCTGTCTGGATCTCAGGGTGACCTCAAACTTGGGATCCTCCTGCCTCACTCTCCCAGGTAGCTGAGATTTACAGGATCTCAGATACTAACAAAGGCACTTACAACACAGAATACACCTTGAAAGCTAGAAAGCAAAGGGATGGGCTTGAAAACAGGAAGCAGAGGGAAAGCCCTGAGCTACCAAGCCACACGACAGAAGGGACAAGCACTAGGGACTCCATGTCACAGGCCTTTACAATGGGAGCAGAGGCAGACTGAAAGGCCAGTGAATTTCCAAACTTCTTACCCTCCACTGCTGATACCCAGCCCTTCCCAAACCTGTGGAGAGACTAGAGGGCTACTCTAGACAGACACAAAAACAGAGAATCTGGACTGGAGCCCCAGGCACAGTGGAGATCCACTCAATGAAAACTAAGCATAGAGCCCTCAGCCCCATTCTCCTACTGGTTCCAAGAGCATCAGCAGCAACAATTTCCAAAGAGCAAACAGTACACAGGCCTGGCCTGGCAGTGGTGGCACATGCCTTTAATCCCAGCACCCAGGAGGCAGAGGCAGAAGGATCTCTGTGCGTTTAAGGCCAGCCTGGTCTACAAAAGGAATTCCAAGACAACCAGGGCTACATAGAGACATCCCATCTTGAAAAACAAACAAATAAAAAACAAAAAAATAAAATAAATAAATGAATGAAAGAAAAGAAAACAGCACACAGAATTTAAGAAATTTCCTAGATCCACCTGCCTCTGCCTCCCAAATTCTAAGATTAAAGGTATAAGCTACCACTCCTGGTGTAAATTCTTTCTTTCCTTCCCTTTTCTTTAAGATTTGTTTTTATTTGTGTGTGTGTCTGTATGCTCACACGCACACCAACCAGCCAGGCACGTATGTGTGGCTGCTCATGGACATTGGAAGAGGGCATCAGACTTCAGGAGCTGGAGTTGTGCCTGTGTGCAGGCCCTCGTGAGCAGCCTGGTATGGGCACTGGGACCTGAACTTGAGGTTCTCCGGAAGAGGAGCAAGTGCTCTTAACTGCTGAGACATGTATCTCTTCAGCCCTGCAAGTAAATTCTTCAGAAATAAAAAGTCGGGCTGAGGAGACAGCTCAGTCAGTAAAGTGCTTGTTATACCTGAACACAATTCCAAGAACCCCCATAAAAATTCTAGTTGTAATCCCATGCTGGGGGGAGAAGAAGTGGAGACAAGTTAGGTCAGTCAGCCTGACTTTCTCAAAAAGCTCCAGGCTAATGAGACTCTGTCTCGAAAAAGAGTAGATGGCGCCTGAGAATGAATCCCAGGTTAATCTCTGCCATGCAAATACACACCCGTCCACCTATATATACACATACATACAGGAAAAGGAACTAATCAAATCATAATTAGTACTTACCAAGATAGTACTGTGCTGCTGCCCGGTTGGTATAAAGGACAGCATTCAAATCAGGGTCTGCACACTTCTTCTTTAATCCTTCAGTGTAGGAAACCACAGCTTTCTTATAGTCTTTCTCTTTAAAGTAGTCATTGCCTTCATCCTTATAGGTCTTGGCTTGCTCTGCAAAGAGGAGGAGGAAATAAGCATCATGTCATACCTTTAGAAAGCTCACCAAAAATCTGAATCATGAAGTAATGCCATATTGTCCAGATTAGGTGGTTGCCATCTTGACACAAGCTATAGTCATCTGGGAAGAGGGAGCTGCAAATAAAAAAAAAAAAAAAAAAAAAAATGCCCCCTGGGCAGGGGGGCCACACCCCTTA